GAAAAGAGACCAGGAACAGTGAAAGAACTCAGTGTTTGATCTTAGGAGTATATAGTTCTGCTGCTTTGAGTGCGGGGGAGGAGAGAGATTGGGCACATCTCACAACGTAGCCCAGTTTGTTTTTCTGGCTTCCATTTGCCACAATCTTCCTGCCTCAGCTTCCCAAGTGCTGGTTTCTAAGTGGTATGAACTCAGCATTGCCCAAGATTGGAGAGATCACGAGTCCCCAGAACTACACAGTGCTGAGGTGTGGAGTCTTGAGGGTAGGACTGGGAGAGTCTCAGATGCCCCTGGGTGGGAGCAAGTCCATCAGCCCATGAGAGAGCCTAAGCAAGACAGTTATGCCTGGTTGCCGGGAAAGGCTCCAAGAGGCCCCTGCCAGCAGTTCATCTGCTCTCTCTCTTTGCCAAAACAGAAAGGAACATTTGATCTTGGCCTTTTTTGCTGGGGTCCTGCTGACACTGCTACTCATGGCCCTTATCTTCTTCATCATCAAGAGCTGCAGAAGAAGTGAGTGGTCTCTGGGAGATGAGCCTTCTCTTGCTGCCTCTGAGAACAGCATGAGCAATGAGGGAGAAGTGATGGAGAGAAGGCCTGCTCAGCCCACCCTCCCCGCAGGTCCACGTGGAGGCCCTCCCTGCTCTTCCTGGCTTCTCTTCCCCTATACCCCTACCTACTAACCTTCACCCAAGGTTGAAGGGAAAGGCTCCCCACTGCTCTAGATTCCACGGTGAGCACGTAACCCTCTTCTTCCTGGCCTCTGCTGCAGGTAACTCCAGCACCCAGGCCCAGGACTCTCTCTCAGAGCCTCCCATCAAGGTAAGACCATGCCGTTGTTTTACGGCTGCAAGAGGGGAATGGAGAGTGATGAAGGTGGTGTGAAATTTGTTTGGGGGGAGTTGGTTTATTCTGTGTCATCTACATACTGGGTTACGGGCTGGGATATTGGTATCACTTTCTGGACTCTGGGCAAGTGACTCTTTTATGGGTTCTTCTTTGGGTCCCCAGTTATGGAAGCTTTTGGGACACCTTCAAAGGAACACCTTTTACTGCAAATTCACTATTCCTCCTCTTTCTCCTCATAAGCTTTCATCCGCATCAAAGGAGTCACTTACCTATGCCAGCATGACTTTCAAGCCTTCGGGAGAAAGCAGCAATGGCTTGACTGGAAACCGCTCCCCAGGCTTGGACCCCACTGTCTACTCTGAGATTAAAGTAGCAGAGCCATCCCTGCCTCTCCAATGAGGCCGAACGCAGGACCTCAGCTCAGCTCCAGCTACGTACTGCTTTCTGGCTTTGTCCTGTGTGTTTGCTTTGGTTGTTTGTTTCCTACAGACTTAGGAGCCCAGCCTATGGACAGCTGCAGTCAGAGGCATCCAGACTTGTTCTGGCAGTGCTGTCTTCTGTGAGGGAAACCACTGGTTACTTACTTTCCCCGCCAGACAAGAGGCTGCAGGTCCTTTCACTCTGACGGGCAGCAACAGCTCCTTGAGCAACTCCCCTGCACTTTCCAAAGGGGCACAGAGTTCGAGATAAAGAAAAATCACTGATGATAACCAGGGAGGAGCCCGCCAACCCTAGCAAACAGTCGAAGATTTTCAAATGACGGCAGCTCCTCCTCCAGGGTTGGCCCCTTCTTCCTCAGTTAGCACTCTGTCCCATCATCTTCTCCAGAAGTCAATATCAGAGTTCTAAACCAACACGAAGTCCATACTGTGTAAAACACTAGTCAAATGCGGGTTTCTCTCTCCTCTATAGAGCATTCAAGATGTGTGTGACAACCTTGGTTGAGAGCCAAATTAAAGATAATTTTAATTAATTTACCCCCAGAACAAAGGGACAATCATAGACGGCCCCATTAAAAATATCAAGAAGGTGCTCTTTAATCAGGCAAGCGTACTTTAAAATGTAAGTACTAAACTGGAAGAAAAATAAATGATAAAATAAATGTGAGGGCTGGTGAGGTAGATGAGGACATTTGCCACCACACCTGACAACTTGAGTTCGAGCTCTGGGACCTGCATGGTGGACAGAGAGAACTGACTCCTGAAAGTCACCATATAACCTTCACGTTTACTCTGTGGTGTGTGTGCATGTACACACACATGCATACGCACACACATACACACACAATAAATATCAACTCGGCTATCATGACAGCTTTATCGTTTGGTTTTTAACTTTTGGCTTTTTGAAACAGGGTTTCTTTGGGAAACAGTCCTGGCTGTCCTGGAACTCACTTTGTAGACCAGGCTGGCCTCGAACTCCCAGAGATCCGCCTGCCTCTGCCTCCCGAGTGCTGGGATTAAAGGTGTTCGCCACTACCACCTGGTGATAGCATTCTTAAGACCTGTGCAAGACCAAGCACGGAGAGGTAAATTGGGCACAATCCCACCTAACTGAAGAACTCTGGGCAATTATTAGCTGCTGGGAAACAAACAGTTTTCTCTAAGAGTACAGTACCTGGTAAACTGACCATGTATAAATTCAATCCGTGGCCACTGGGCATGACTGGGACTGGTCAGAGGCGGAGGCAGAGCATTTCTTGGTGTTTGAGACTCAAATGGAGGAAGGCTACAAGTATGCAGGTATGATATCCGTAACCTTCCCCTTCCCCTCGGGCTGCTGAGAGACTTGGACTTTCCTCCCAATAGGAAGGAACTGGAACAAAGCCCAGAGTATCCTCATCAAAGGCTTTGCAAGAGACATGAGCTAATCTGACGAGATACACACAGAATCTGGTCAACCCCCAATCTCCATTCCAACCCCGTTCTGACCCAGCGGACCACTTGAGGATTCTGAGTCTGAGCTTGGTGGGCCTATACGCCATCAGACTGGACCATGGCATATTAAACTGTGGCTTCCTGAAACTAGGGAAATGCCTCAATCAGTAAAGGGCTTGTCTTGCAGGAATGGGAACCTGACTTTGGTTCCCAGAACTTGTGTAAAAATGGGGGACATGGTAGTAGTAGGGCATGCTTGTCATCCTAGCCCTGGAGAGGGAGAGTCTGGAGTGTCCCTGGGCTTCATGGTTCAGCTACCCTAGCCTAATCAACAAGTCCAGCCCAGTGAAAGAGGCTGTTTCTTACAAGGTGGGCAGCTCCAGAAGAATGACATCTAAGGTAATCCTCCAGCCTCCACGTGTACAAGCGCACACATGAATGTGCACTTTCCCCCGCAGGAGGGCGGTGAAGGCCACGATGAAGCAGCCGGGGGACACCGCATGAGGAGAGGGTTGCAGGTTGCAAGGAAGCACGTGGGGTAGCGGTAATCCTGCACCAATGATGCCACTCTGCTGGCTCCCGCAGATGACGATGCCTCATTCTTGCCTCGTGTTTCCTGATTTGAACAACCCTTTGGTTGCTTATGGGTCAGAGCAGAACCCGTTACTCTGGTGACTGGTTCCCACTGAGGATGTATTGGTGGCGGGGAGGGGCACCGTCTTTTCACCAAGGGGCTATGAGAACTACAGACTCAATCTGTGATAATTTGGATAGAACAGCATTTAATACCCACTCAGAAATGTGTTGGAATATTATGCTTTTTAGGAAAATGTCAAGAAATGCTTTTCCAGTGATGCACTAGGAGAAGTCAGTCATACAAGGGGGCTCTTTCAACACTATTCATATATTTATTGGCTGATAAAATAAAATACAAGTCATTTCCCCTTGTCCTGGGTTCTGTGCCTCTTCTTCACGTCAGCGAATCTAATGCACGAGAGGTAAGGTTGCATAAGAGATATTATTCAGTGGCAGCCTTGCTTGGCGGAATCTATCGTAGCTTCCCTGACCCCACTGCTGTCACCTTGCAATGGAAGATTGCTTTAGAAATCCGAAAGGTCAGAAACAGTCTCTGAGATGCAGGCTGGTTGTCATGGAGATTCAACAGTAATGGTATTACTCTATTTGGTAACTAAATGAAGGAAATCTTCAGTCACGTGTGTTCAGTTTGAGCCATTTCCTCGAGTCAGGACATGTGGAAAGAACTTCAAATCGTAGCCTACTTTGTTGGGAAATAGAAAAGGAAAACGGAGTTGGAGGCTCTTGCCAGAGTGTCAGCCAAAAAAAAAAAAACCAAAAACCCTACAAACTTCACTTTTCTGAGCCTATTTTCCTCTCTTCTAAATTAAAGATTATTCTCATACTCAGGAATTTTTTTCAAACAAACCTAAGTATCCCCAGCCTCCACACTTCCCAAAGTTTCCAGACTGCAAAAGGCAAGGGATGCTGTGGGAACCACTCCTGGCACTCCTGAGCTGGCTGCCTGTGCACAAAACATCCACGTTTGGATTACTTATTTACTTATTTATTCTCCTCTCTCTCTCTCTCTCTCTCTCTCTCTCTCTCTCTCTCTCTTTCTGTGTGTGTGTGTCTGTATGTGTTTCTCTCTGCCTCTTTGTCTCTGTATATCTCTCTTCCCCCGCCCCCTCACGTAGAGGGGAGAGTGGAGGATACACAAGGGCTATGTGTTCCCAGAACACATGTGGAAGTCAGAGGACAGCTTGCAGTAGTTGCTTCTCTTCCTGCCATGTGAGTCCTGGGGCTTAAACAGGATTGGTGACAAGCGCCTTTACCTGCTGAGCCACTTTGGCAGCCCTGCAAACACTAAAGTTTGCTTTCAGGGCTGGAGTTTGATGTCATCTCTGCAAGACTGTAGGCAAAGCTGGGTACCGAGGGTTTGCCCTTCCCTCGCTGAGTTTTGATGGTATGAATACATCTGAACTGCCGGGCCCAAGAATGACAAAACTAGAAGGGGCTTTAGTCCAGCCTGCTAAGTGTGTCCAAGTATGAGCAACAGGGCAAGGCTAGAACAGGCTGCTGGCTTCTTGCTGAGAGAACGGCACTGGGTTCTGTTCTTCCCTATTATACAGCATCCTATCACCTTCACTGATTCTGCTGGACAAGCTTGCGTCTGTATTCAAGTGTGGTTGCTTGTGTTCCTCCACCTCACCACAACACTTTATTTTTGAGACAGAACCTCATTCTGCAGTCTAGGCTGCTCTAGAACTCATTTAGTCCAAACTGGCCTTGAACTCGAGATCCTTCTACTTGGGCTTCTGGGTGCGCCATGTCTGCCCTGCTGTTTTCCTGGGTTACAACATAAGATCCATGAAGACAGGTGCTACCTATTTAGTTTGTCTTTGTAACCTCAGCACTAGCATGTTCCTAGTTTGCAAAATGGAGGATGCATGGGTGGGGAGGTGGGTGGGACACGGGTGGATAGATGGATAGAAAACTCAGAAGCATATAGGAACAAGGAGGAAAATGTAGAGCAAAAAACTGGCTTGGGAAAACAATGTTGCCCAGGGTCCTATCTTAAAGAAGTGATGATAATTTCCTGAAGAAAAAAAAATACAAACAGCCAGCCGGTGGTGGCACATGCCTTTAATCCCAGCACTCAGGAGGCAGAGGCAGGCAGATCTCTGTGAGTTCGAGGCCTGCCTGGTCTACAAGAGCTAGTTCCAGGACAGGCTCTAAAACAGTGAAATCCTATCTCAAAAAAAAAAAAACAAAAAAAACCAAACAAACAAAAAACAAAAACAAAACTTGTAACCTAGAAGGAGCCTAGACAAGCCCGGAGGGGTGTTGCTTTGGTCATTTCCCTCCCCTCCACTGTTCCCAAAGCTTCTAGGGCAAAAAGGCAGATACGCTGTGGGAGCCGCTCCTTTACTGTTTTAGATAGCTTGTTCTGTGTCTTCATGGGACCCAGCCCGCACAGGGGCAGCCTGAGACCCTGTAGCCTGTGGTCACATTTCAGATCCTGCTGGCCCTGGCCCCTCATGTGTCACTAAGAGGCCTCCCATCATTCGGATGCTACTTGGATTTGGTAACAGTATTGGGTTTCTAGTCTGAGGCTTTTGTTTGTTTCCTTCATATTAATCATTATTTCCTTGAAGTATTGTTTTTCTATGTTTCCAAACCCAGGAAGGGTGACTGGAATCCATTTTGTAACTATGGCTACAGTCTCTTCTTTGTCCAAGGTGTTTCCATGGTGTCCAATCATAAAAAGCCAAAAGCTAACAGCATCGCCTTGGCCAAACAAAGGTGTTCATGGTGTTCTTTTCAGTTCTTTATGGTGACCTAGAGAACTTTCCAGATGATAGGACCTGCCTGCGTCACAGGTAAAGTCTCCTCTCTATGAGTGGAAAGAACTAACCACTGAGTTCTGAAGGCACTCACGACTCAGTACTGAGGAATCAAGGAGGGAACTTACCAAGAGTATGGAGATCACAGAAGGAACTTGGTTTGGCTGAGGGCTTCTAGTGATGCTTTTACCAGTAACTATCCAAGGAAAAACAAAGACAGAAAGCTGAGGTCCCTGGGCCCAACCACCTGCCGAACTGGGGGAGGGCGTTACAGAAACCCCATCGTTAGACAAGAGCCTTGACCCCAATCCCTACAGGTGAACAAAAAGTTTCAAACAAAGAGTAAGGCTGTGCCCCAATGCTTGTGCTGTGGTGTCAAGGATCCCCACAGATACGGGTCCTGCAGTGTGGTTATCTTCCTTCTTTCCAGCCCACACCTATTTCCACTTAAGACTAAAGTGTTCCTTCAGTTGCTTCCCATGATGCCTTTGTCACTATGAGAAGGTTCTATCCTCCTCAGCCTGTGGACTGACCAACTGCCTTGGTACCTAAGTGACCAGGCATCAAGAGGAGGGCCACATTTATTCATGACTCTACACCCGGCTTGCTTACCTCCTCCTCTATTCCTCATTCCTCTGGCTTCTCCTTCCCTTGGACAAACACTGATTATAAAGATGATCCCCAAATGAATAATCATTATGCAAAAGATCAGAAGGAACAGTCTAGAAGAAATCAGATCAGATATCAGGTCGTTTGGAAGGAAACCCCTTTTGGTTTTCTTCTCACACCGTCACGCCCATCCCAGCCCCAGTTGCTCCTGAGAGCTACAGTCTGTAAAGAGTGACTCTGTCCTTTGTATGAGTAATTCATTCCTTGGATCGGATGGGCATCTAACCAAGCTGGGCCAGTGAGTCCTTCCCCAGAAATGAAGTAGGGATGAGAAGTGGAAAAACTACAGTCTTCGGTCATTCTCTTGAATGGGGAGAAATAAACTGAGCAACTATAAATGGGTGAAACCTACTGTGTCAAAGAGAAAAAGAAAGATGGAGGGAAGGAGGAGGGCGGGAGAGAGAGGGAGATGGAAAGAGAGAAAAGAATACAAGCTGGAGGATATAGCTCAGTTGGCGGAGTGCTTTTGAGCTGGGTGTGGCAGCACACACCTGTATCCCATTGCTCAGGAGGAGGAAGCAGGGGGAACAAAGGTTTAAGTCTACCTAGGAACTTGAGGGGAACTTTTTAAGTCTCAAAACAAAACAAAAGAAACAGAGGCCTAGAGAAAGCTCAGAGGTTCGGTTCCCAGCACCCACACTGCAGCCCATGAATATCTTTAGCTCCAGTTCCAGAGGATCAGGCTCTCTTTTCTTGACTCCACAAGGCTCCATGCACAAACGTGTTGCACATATACATATATGTGTATAAAACATTCATACACACAAAATAAAAATGAATCAGACTTTTTTAAAAAAAGAAACTAGAATTAGCCAAGACTGACATAGAGAAGGAAGCAAACGCACTCGAGACCATCAGATGGAAACTGAGCTAGAGATGAAGACAAAGTCCTTGGCTCCTCTTTTGCCTGCATGCCTGTCCTGTGTTTCAGACATGTATTCTCTCCCTCTGGGGGGTAGAATGCCCCCTTTCAAAATTAAAATAACTAAGCCGGGCGGCAGTGGCGCACGCCTTTAATCCCAGCACTTGAGAGGCAGAGGCAGGCAGACATCTGTGAGTTCAAGATCAGCCTGCTTTACAGAGCAAGTCCCAGAACAGCCAGGGCTACACAGAGAAAACCTGTCAAAAAAAACAAAAACAAACAACAACAACAAAAAAGAAAACAAAAATCAATTGAAGTAACCAGAAGCTATTTTCTGCTTTCAAACAGAAATAGTCATTTTTAAGAAACCAAACAATTACAAGTAAGATACTTTATTTAGGCAGAGAAACAATACACAGATGAAAAGTAGAAGGTGTGAACTACTGTGTCGTGGCTCATCCCACCCCATCCCATCCCACCCCACCCCTACCCCATCATCTCCTCAGATCCCTACTCACTTGGAGTCCTCCACCTTTAGGATAGTTTTAGAAGTCCTACAGCTCCGGGTCCTGTTCCCTGGAGGGTCTGAATCAGGAAGAAAGTGTTGAGAATAAAGTCCATTTGGGGACCCTTCCTTTGTCTCCAGCTGTATCCCCATCCCGTCTTTCTCTTGCTCTCCAGAGGGGAAGTGCCTTGCTGGCTTTTTGCACAAGACAATGACAACACTATTGTAGAAACATGCCCTGGACAGGGAGCAAGTCTGGGGAGAGAAGTAGGGGCTGGAATCCAACTCACAGTGCGCTAGCTAAGTCATACACCCTGCAACTGGATCCTCTGCACCCGGAAGAAGGGACACTTTTCCCAGATTTGCACAAAGGCCCTGGGCAGTCTAAAAGCATTCATGGTTAGAGACCCAGACTAGGGAAAAAAAGTCTTGATGTATCAAATAGCCAGACCCATCCTTAGGGAATGAGTCAATCTGTGACATAGTTCCTCTGATAAGATACTAACAACCCATCGGGGAGTCCCACATCACCTCCTCCATGTTTCTTTAAAGGAGCAAATTTAAACAAGACCCTCTCTTCCTGAACTAAAAACTCTAGAAACGCTATAAAAAGCAGACACGTACAAAGTGAAAACACAGCCAGTGTGGATGTTACCCACTCAGCGGGATGCTAGCCATATCAGTTACCAGTGGACTAACTGTGAGCAAGGCATGAGAACTGGAGAGGTGGTGTGGGGGTGAGGCTTCCCACTGATGGAGGAAGGTCATTGGTTAAATAAAAAGAAACTGCTTGGCCCTCATTGGTTAGAAGATAGGTGGGAGGAATAAACAGAACAGAACGCTGGGAGGAAGAGGAAGTGAGCTCAGACTCCACAACTCTCCTCGTGGGAGCAGACTCCTCAGAGAGACGCCATGCTCCCAGCTCCCAGGCAGACGCACGCGATGAAGCTCTGACCCAGGATGGACATAGGCTAGAATCTTCCCGGTAAGCGCACCTAGGGGTGCTACACAGATGATTAGAAATGGGCTAAATTAATATGTGAGAATTAGCCTAGAAGAGAATGGGCCAAGCAGTGTTTAAATGAATACAGTTTGTGTGTTGTTATTTCGGGCATGAGCTAGCAGGCGGCCGGGGTGACGGGGATGCAGCCCCGCCGCCCTTATTACTACATCCCACAAGTCCTTCTGGTGGGGTTTCCTATGGTCACTGCGCTCCAGCGACTGAAATCACATCACTTTTCTAAATGGGAACAACGAGAGAACAGCTAGTGCTTTCCACATTTCTCTGCCTGGAAGACAGGGGCTCACTGGTACTGAAGAGTTTTCCAGGCTCCGGAGAAGGGGCCTGAGAACACGAGAACACTGGGAGAGGCCGAGAGTTAGCTCCAGCTCAAAATCGCAGTCTGGCTTAGGCAGACTTTACCCCCTGGTTCCTGTCCCTCCCAGGATCCTCCTGCATTCCACATGAGTAAAGATGGGCGCTGGCAAGTTTGACCGCTCTATTTAACTTATATTAATTACTGATTTTTTTTTTAAGCTGTGCAGTTTCGAGAAACCTCTCTTTGCGGCCTCAGTTACGTCTCAAGCCAATCTCCAAGGTTCTAGACCTGCAAGGCTGAGATTTCACTACAACCTCAAAGCCTTGACCATCAGGTCAAAGATCTCACGCCTATGAGACCTTCCAGAACCTTCCAAGGTCTGCGAGCCAGGCTGTTGTGAAGAAAGGGAACAAGCACACCCAGGGCTCAGATGCGCTTCTTTCCTACGAAATTCTACCCAGCTCTCACCCCCCACCACAGAGTGGAATTGAGAGAGCTGGTTACCTCAAGTAATACAAGAGGAACTTGAGTTGGTGGCCTCTGCCTTTAGTGAGGTGGTTTTTGTGTCTTTATTTTGAGACAGGGTCTCACTTTATATAGCTCTGCCTCGTTTGGAACTCACTCTGTAGACCAGGTGGCCTTGAACACCCAGAGATTCACCTGCCTCTGCCTTCTGAGTGTGGGGATTAAAGGTGTGCACCATCAGACCTGGATCCTTTAGTGAGTTTTTACTGCCTCAAGGAGCACTTATTGCCCTCCAACCATCCCTTGCCAGTCTCTTTTCCAGGTGGTAAAACACTGGCCCGGCCATCTCTGCTGTCAGTTACAATCAGCTGTGTAAAATCCATGACATCTCTGGCAAAATCCCGTTGGATGCCACACCAGTACCAGTCTGTGTCCTCCTTGACCAGGTAGGACACAGTGATGATGAGTTGGCTGCCTGTGTCCTTCGGGGCCACACGGTTGGTGCTGTTAGGGGTAAAGGCGATAACATTGCACGAGTCCCTGAAATAGCCTCGACACCAGTACTTGGTGTGGTTCTTGTAGTGCATCATAGCTACAGTTAGCAGAAACTGTGTCCAGTTCAATACCTGTCTTCACCTTTTCATCCATGACCATGGTGTCTGTGAACACACAAGCACACACACATATACACACAGAGTTCATTATTCTTGGAAACACACTGAACCCCCTGCTCTCCTGGAAGATAATTGAAATTTGGGTTTTGTCCATTTGAATTTGGTCACTATTATGAGTATCCTTCACATGTTGATCCCTTAATCCCTATACAGAATGTGATGTGACTGCATTTGGACACAAGACTTTTAAGAAGAAATTATTTAAAATTAGAAAATTAGGGTGGCTCACTTCAAGAAAAAATTTTAAAGTTTTTTTTGTTATATTTTATGTGCATAGGTGTTTTTCTGCATGTATATAAGTGCAGAACATGTGTATGTGACTGCAACACATGTATGTAATTGCAACACGTGTGTAAGTGTATCACATGTATATAAGTGCACCACAAGTACGCCTGGAGCCCAAGGTCATAAAAACATGTCCAATCTCCTGAAACTGAAATTGTAGATGGTTGTATGCTACCTGTTGAGCCATCTCTCCGATCCCCATTATGATAGTTCTGAATTTAATATGACTGATATTCTTATTTAAAAATTTAAAAACAGATGAAGTTAGAAAAAATCATGTGAACACACAAGAAGGCAGCCGTCTTCAAGGCAGAGAGAGTCCCCAGAATGACATCGACTCTGAAGAAACCTTTAATTTGAAGATCTGTGAGAGTTGATCTTGATGTGGGCTTGATTGGATTTGGGATGCCTAGATTAATCAAGCATATGTCTGGGTGCCTCCACGTGGGTGTTTCCAGAGAAAACTAGCTAAGGTGAAAAGACTTCCCCTAAACGTAGGCAGCCCCAATTCATGTGCTCAGAACCCATAACTGTTGGAGAAGTCTCCTCTACTAGCCTGAGAATGCGTGAGATGCAAGGAGCCTTGAAGAACTTGAGGTTTGTTTTGCCATCTAGCCCCTTAGCTCTGCCCCTAAAGGCAGCCACTAAAGGGAAGCGAAAGGTTAGGAGGCTCGCTCTGACTGAAAAGGACTAAAAATAAAGGGACCTGTGATGTTAGGGGCTGAGAGCTTGCCATGCAAGAGCAGTGTGGGCATCTTTATCATGTCAGGACGTTGTATAAAGAGGAAGTCACACATGCAACATCCGGCTTTACCGTAGCTGGGAAAATATCTGATCAGAAAGGAGAGGTGTGACAGCAGAGCCCATTGCTCTCAGCCTTCCCAGTGTGTTCTGTGAAGAACCCACACCCCCACCAAGAGGCTGCTTCCGCTGTGTCTTACAGGAGATAACACATTCCTCCAAATGTCAGTCTCCTCTCATCATAACCAGACAAGAGGATCTTGTGATCCTCAGTTCATAGTCAAGGATGCTGACCCACAGAGAGCTGCAGTTAGGTCTAAAGGGAGCGCAACTGGGAGGTGGGATAGCTTGGGGCAAGTCCCATTTCTGGGTACCATCTTTGGTGTCAGACTTAGGCAGAAAGGAGATACGCATATCTGCCTAGATCCAGGCAGACATAAGAGGGAAGAAAGGAGAAGAGAATGGGAATTGGGGTCATTGTGGGGGGAGGGGGGAAGCACTGCAGAGCTCCAATTTTAGTCAAGGGATACAAGTTTGCCATAACTCCTTTATCAGAGGTAAGGGTCTAAGATCTCGTAATAGGACCTGTTAACAAGACGTATTTTCACCTTCTCTTATCCCATAAACAGCTGAGGTGCTTTAAACAGCTACCCTGAGGAGGGGCGTTAAGTAGAGGAGAATAATGCTGCCCCAGAAGGTTGTGGCTTAGAGGGCGAGGTGTTCCTTACCAACATTTACCTGAAAAGAGGGCCAAGGAGAACAAGACAAGCTCCATGGTGAGAAGGAAGCAAACTTCAGCTGTTAAGAACAGAGGATCTCAGGGATGCTGGATCTGCATGAGGGAAACATATGTTTAGATTTAAGGTGGTTTTAGCCCGCGTGAAGGGAGAACCACCGGTTATTCTAAGCAGGGCTGTTGTGCAGGAGCCAGCCGGTTGTGTCCTAGGACGCACCAGAGGGATATCACTCATGAATAAGATGTCTTTGCATCAATTGTGAACATCTGCGCTCCCAGCACTGCCCAGAGCAGCAGGAGAACCTTGATTAAATCCACTTGGCGTACACACTTTAATAGACACCCAGAAGAGGTATACACATCGCTATTGGAACATGTTCATGTGGGCAACTGTACCCTCTCTTGACGTGTGTGGCTGTGCCTCTTGTCCCTCCATCATTCTGAGAGGACCAGTTCATTTTCACATGGGAGCAATTCCAGCAAAGAAATCCTTAAGTAACTTGAGTCCCAAGCTACAGTGAAGACCTAGCGAGTGTGGTTAGAGGTGAAGCTCATGCCAGCTGCCAGAAGCATGTATGCCTGCAAGCCAGAATACATGAGTAGAGCAGTCAGCATCCGGGGCTGGGGATTCCAGACTCTGGAAAGCTTTTCTGAATAGAACTGGGACCCATCAAAGACGCCTTTCCATGCGGTAGCAGCAGCAGCTTCTGATTCCTGACAGATGCATGCCTTCTGACCTCTAGTTTTGCAGGTTCGAATTCTTGAACCACCCTAAATTCCCAAATTTAAACTGGGTGCTCCTTATCACACCCTAGAGCTAGCACTTCCTTCCAAGGGACGGATGTAGATGACTTTTCTATATTGTGCAATATCATCCTTTCCTGAGAAAAGGGGAGCCTCCCTTTAATTCACGAAAATTCAGCATACGCACTCGCGCCAAGCTTGCACCACAATGGTTTTTTTTTTTTTTACTTACATTACATTATCTGCTCCTCATTGGTGATCTCTGTCTCAACCAACAAAATGTGTTGGACAAAAAGAAGACTAGTAAAAAGAATCAATAGATTCAGTGAAGTTGAGTGAAATGTATTGGCTAATGACAACATATGAAACTCATTACGGTGCCAAGACAGTTGATGCTGCTAATTGTTCATTTATTTTTAGGTATGTTAATGGTTTCATCCCAGCCTGTTCTAGTTATCCTCTCTGTTGTCATGGTCAAAAAAAACTGGCCAAAAGCAACTAGGGGGAGAAAAGGGTTTATTTAAGCTTAGAGATTACAGTCTGTTGTTGAGGAGAGCTGGGGCAGGAGCTCAAGGCGTGAACTAAAGCAGAGAAGACCTAAGGAAGCCACTTCTGGTCTTCTCTTCCTAGCTTGATCAGCTACCTTCTTATATAGCCCAAGACTACCTGCCCAGGGATGGCACCACCCACAGTGAACTGGACCCTGAAACATCAGCTGACAGTCAAGAAAATACCCTCAGCTGGGCGTGGTGGCACCTGCCTTTAATCGCAGAACTGGAGGCAGAGGCCCAGGCAGATCTCTGTGAGGTGGAGGCCAGCCTGGTCTACAAGAGCTAGTTCCAAGACAGGCTCCAAAAGCTACAGAAAAACTCTGTCTCAAAAAAAAAAAAAAAAAAAAAAACAAACACACAAAAAAAAAAAAAGGAAAGAGAGAGAGAAAGGGAAAGGAAATACCCTCATAGATTTTGCTCACAAGACCTCAACTGAGATTTCTTACTCTCAGATATATGTAGGTTTATGTTGATAAAAAACTAACCAATCACACCAGTCAGGTATACCATGTCCTTTGATATAAATGATCTTATGTAGCCCATATGAAGGTGAGTCTGGGCTGGCCTTCAGGATAAACAAAATTTGGCAGAAGTATGATGTGTGTCTTTGAAACACAGTCCAGCTTCTGCCCCAATCTCTTGTATCTTGAGTGAGTCGGCCACCATTTATGAGGACTCAAGCAAGCAACAGGAAGACTTACATGAAAAGGAAACACCTTGCCAATGTCACCTTATCACTAATGCCAGGGTCACCTTGGTAGTGGCCATGATCAAACTTTCAGGTGTCTGACCCAGTAATCTCATGCGATGTCATGAACATGAACCGTCCAAGAAGATGTTCCTGAATTCCTGACCCATACGGACCAGGAGCAGATAATAAAGGCTTGTTTTCTTAGGTTCTGCAGCAAATAATAATTCTAAGTTTTTAAAATGCGGTCCTTATCTTTGTCAATACTTATATGCAAAACTGATTAGTTTGTTCAGAGATGGCACAAAATGGTCAAAGAAAATGTCATTAGAAATAGAAAAGAAGAGAATATAGTAAATATCAGCAAACTGCCCAAGACAATGGAAAAGTTACTTTATAAATAATGAGAGTACTGGGTGAGGTGACACACACTGCAATTCCAGAACTTCAGAGATGGAAGCAGGAGGATCAGGAGTTCAGGTTCATCCTCTATTAGATATCAAGTTCAAGGCCAGCCTGGAGTATATGAGATTCTGTCTCACACTGAAAAATCAAATAAATAAAACAGATAAGAAGATGTGGTATGCAGATGCCGGCAGTCAGTGTTAGCTGATACAAGTACTCCTGTTCCTCTCTCTTAAGGATACAATTAATCTTTAGATTCAGGGAAGGAGAAAGTACATAGGTATGGAGAATAAGTAGAGTAATACTTTTTTTAAAAGATTTATTTATTTATTATGTAGACAGTGCTCTGCCTGCATGTATGCCTGCAGGCCAGAAGAGGGCACCAGATTTCATTACAGGTGGTTGTGGTTGCTGGGAATTGAACTCAGGACCTCTGGAAGAGCAGTCAGTGCTCTTAACCTCTGAGCCACTTCTCCAGCCCCCGAGTAATACTTTTCAGAACATCTTTGATAAGTTTTTACAGAGGAAATAACTTGAAGCCCCAGAGTCTAAGATAAACAGGGCAGGGTTAATAAATGCAACAAGAGAGACCATAAATTAATAAGTACTAAAACAGGATAACAGGTAAACTAGAGCTCCTTTCTTCTACTCATTCCACTTCATGACTTTTGATTCTGACAAAATGAAAAATAGCAAAATGAGGGCCCAGGAAGATGGTTCAGCCAGTTATAGGTGCTTGCCACACAGCCTGACAGCCTGAGTTTGACACCAGAACCCACATGGTAAGTGGAGAGAACCAGCTCTACAAAACTGTCCTCTGACCTCCACATGAGTGCTGTCACGTATGCGCCTTCACACACACACACACACACACACACACTCACACACACACTCACACACACACACACTCACACACTCACACACTCACACACACACACACTCACACACACACTCACACACACACACTCACACACACACTCACACACACACTCACACACACACACACTCACACACACACACACACTGACTAATAATATACATTGTTTAAGAAACAAAAGAACTCTGACATAAATGTTATTAGTCCCTTGTTACAAATGAGAGCAGACACAGGAGCTTAAGGGGTCCAAGTTCACAGAGTCAGTAGAGTAGAGTCAGTGTGATCTGATGTAAAATCTGGCTGGTTTGGAAAATAACAGCAATAAAACCTCTTTCCATTGTGTTCTCTCTCTCTCTCTCTCTCTCTCTCTCTCTCTCTCTCACACACACACACACACACACACACACACACACACACACACACAGCAATAATCCTGCAAAGCTGTAGGGCACTTTAGAGTTAGCCAAGAGAATTACATGTATACTGTTGTCTGAGGAAGCCAGCTTTCTCACTCCTCTCCTACCCAGCTATCGCGGTTAGCAGAAGGATTTCTCTTGAAAACGTGCCTGGAAATTATGCAGATGAATGATGATTATCAGCATAAGATTCTGATTGACAACCTGCAGCACGCTGCCCAGGAAAGCAGCCAATCACCCACAATAAGCAGCAGACCAGCCTGCGGTCTGAGGGATTTTTAAGGAGTCGGGTTATTATCTCTAACAGTCTCCGGAAGTCAGGCACTAACTGCTCCCAACTATCCACAAATCACCAAGGCTTGTAGAGTAGAGTAAGCGGTAGCTTCCTCTATTGTGGTTCTCATTGCAGTTTAGGACCAAGCAGATGTGCTCCCTGTTCAGAGGCATCTGGATGTCCTGGTGCCTCATCCTCCAAGCTGTTCAGAAGCATCTAAATGTCCCGCACAAGGGCACAGCTCAAGGCCCACCCCTCCCTTCTGCTTTAAAAAACTTACTGGATTGAAATGGCCCCAAACACCTTGGGCTCCTACATCATCAAATTGAAGATCAACTCCATGTACACTGAAGAATCACATTTACCACTTAATCTGTCAACTACCACCAAAGTTAATGGACCAACTGTCCAACTGACCTTGTAGCAATAGGCTTATCACCTAACCAATTAAACACATTTTCTTTGCAGTGCTACCAAGACTCAGTAAAAGCCTCTCCACCTGCCCCCTGTGGCCGAGCCACTTGCAGTCTGCAGATGCTCTGTTCATGAATCCTCGAATACTCAAGACAAACTCGTTAAAATTTCAGTGTGTTGGGCAGGAAAGATGGCTCAATGGTTAAGAGCACTCGCTGCTCTTCCAGAGTCATGAGTTCAATTCCCAGCAATCACACAGCAGCTCACAACCATCTAATGGGGTCTGATGCCCTCTTCTGGCATGCAAGCATAATGCAGATAGAATACTGATACATAAAATACATTTAAAAAAAAATTCAGTGTGGGCCGGAGGGTGGTCCTAGCACTTGGGAGGCAGAGGCAGGCAGATCTCTGCGAGTTCTAGGCCAGCCTGGTCTACAAAAGCTAGTTCCAGGATAGGCTCCAAAGCTACAGAGAAACCCTGTCTCAAAAAAAATATTTTTTTTCAGTGTGTTTTATTTTTTTTGTGTGGGGGGGAGAGAATGGAGCTCTTACACAGTCTGTTCTCTTGTTCTCCTGCCTTAGGCTACTAGTGCCTCTGATTACAGGTGGGCACCGCTACACCTGGCCTCTGAGTCTCTTTTAAACACCACTACAAAGCTTCCCTACTCTTCTGCTGGCCCGAATCTGGGCCAAGCACTACAGCAAGTTCAGAATAAACTAGGTGTGGTAGCTCGTGCCTATAATCCTAGTACTGGGGAGCCTGAGGCAGGAGGACTACCATGAGTTCTAATGATAGATTAGGCTACATAGTGAACTTCAGTCCTATCTGAGCTGCAGAATCTCTAACACACACACACACACACACACACACACGGAGAACAGACAGCCATTTGGTGACATTTGGTAGGCTAGTCTCTATTTCTACTTGATTTATTTTTTAAAAAATCCAAGTAATAAAGCCGTGTACTTGGTTGGCATCTACATTTGTTCAGTGTCTTCATAGGGAAGAGGAGAAAGCCATCTCTGAATTTGTCTGGGCGTCTCTGTACCTTTTCCATTTAGATAAAAAGCCCTAGTTAGCTTTCTGGTTTCACTGAGAGGGTGTTGGCTAGAGGCAGGCTTCATGGGAAGATCCCTGCCACACTCATCTCCAAACCTGAAACCAGGGTTGGGTCTCTACTTACTTGTAGCCAATGTTTTTTTTTTTTTTTAAATTTGACTTATTTATTTTTTGGAGAGTTTCACATCATGCACCCCAATTCCACCCACCTCCTGGTACCCCCCATATCTCTCACCCTAGCAGCACCTCCCCCTCCACATTAAAACCTCTTTCTTTCCTGCCTCTCCAACACCTCGTCACTCATGCTGCTGCCATTGGGGACCTTGGAGTGTTCCACAGTATGACCCTCTTGTCCTATCAGCTTTACTAACAAATGTTCACTACAATGAGCCCCTGGTCTGGTTCAAGGCCTCTGGTGTCTGGTACACCATCCTCACTGGATCCTCACCGGAACTCCTCTGGGAGGGATATCCTGCAGCTGTTCCAGGTCGTAGAGATCCTGAAGGTGTTGTTCCCCAGCACCAGTCCCTTCACAAGCTCCAGCAAGTCCTAGATGGGCTAGGTGGGGTGGGCCAGCCCAAGGCCTGGCTGTGGGCCTGGGTGGTCAGTTGGTCAGTTCAGGCCTCTGGGGCCACCTGCCTCAGGCAAAGGGTCAGAGTTAGCTCCCCTCCATCCATTCCCTCGGGGTTGGTTCACCCTCTGGTGAGGAGTGGGGCCATGTCTCCCGATTGCAGGGGCCAGCTCTCCCGATTGCAGGGGCCAGCTCTCTCGATTGCAGGGGCCAGCTTCCCGATTGCAGGGGCCAGCTTCCCGATTGCAGGGGCCATCTCTCCTGCAGGGCTCAGAGCCAGTTCTCTTGCTGCTGTGTCCCATGAAAGGTAAGGCCACCTTTCCCTGGGCCAGCGAAGGGCAGGCCGGCTCAGCATGGCCCTGTGATTTCATCTCTATTGGTTCCTAAGGCCCCCTGAGGTGACACAGGCCACAGACATCAACACGGACCCCAACTGCAGCTGGACCACGAACCCAGACATGGCTCTCCCAGCAGAGGCCTCAGGTTGCAGCCCCAACCCTGGGCTACTATGTGAGCTTTGGGGACAATGTGGAACTCAGACAGATCCCAACTCGGTAGGGCCACAAACCCAGACATGGCCCTTGGTCTGGATGTCACCAATTCTCAAGGTGGCAGTTCAGGTCACTAAGATTGGCATGGTCCCAGAGGCAGTGTGTCTCTGGGACACCGACATGACCTTAGACCTCTGGTGTCTGCACAGCCTTCAGTGGTAACAGGAACCTCGGTCATCAGCACAGACCCTGGCTGCAGTAGGACCATTTATATGACCCAAGTTCTGCTTGGGATGTCACCATGGCATTGAGTAGCAGCACAGGCCCCCTAGATCTGCATGCATCAAGGCCCTTGGACACTAACCTGGGCTCAGGTCACTGACCTGATCCTGGGCATCCTTATGGCCCTCGGTGGCAACAGGAGCCATATATGTCAATCCAGATCCTGTCCGTTATAGGGTCATGGACCCAGACAAGGCCCTTGGCAGCACATGGTAACCACAGACACTCAGTTCAGGATGTTGCCAAAGTTTTTGGTTCACCTTATTCTTGGCTTCATGCTAAAAGGGTATCTTCACACATCAAGGCTTCAGCTTCTGACTTTGACTTTAGCTTCTTCCGAGCTGGAACAGTCCTGTATCTCGGGATATTCCCACTTGGCAAAAATGAGACGGCCCAGCTCCCAGCAAGCCACCAGTGGCAATCAGAAGGGAACAGAAGTAAAAGCAGTTTTCAAACTTTGTAGCCGTGACCTAACGATACCTACAGGCCCAGCCCAGATTGCTCTTCAGATATGAAGGAAGTGTTCGCTTTAAATTGTCTTTTAAAAAGGGGAGACTGAGCATTGCTACAACACAGTGAAGATGATCAGGAAACCAAGAATCTACAGCACTTCCCCCTTACTGTCCAGCTAACTGGGCAGAGGTTGTGAAGCCTTACAGCAAACCCAGGGCCTCTTCCTGGAGGCAGACACAAACCAAACCAGAGATTCGGTAAGGGGAAGCCTTGCATGCTTGACTCTTCTGGGGCAACAGGAGGAGAATGAGGGGCCTCTGCTGAAATAATAGCTCTGGGCTAGCATGAGGATCCAGACAAACTTCAGGGATAGCTATGGTCTAATTCCACTTTCGGGTTCCCGCTTCTCTTGGCTTAATTGGAACTGTCATCTTGAGGCTCTCATCAAACCAACACTTTATCTTGGGAATGAGACTCTATGGGGAGCTTCAGATTTGGACAGGAAAATCAAGGGTGGGCACTGTGAGTGTCTCGAGCTGCGGGGCTCGGATGATGTGGCTGACTCCGTCCACTGCCAGCATCCATCCTGATAAACCGGAGGATGGGGATAGCGACCAAGGAAGGAGCCACAGGGGCACTGTGATGATCAACTTTTCTCATTTTCCTCCCTGCTCAATCCCAAGGTCTCACCATGTAGCCCTGGTTGGCCTAGTACTTCATATGCAGACAAGGCTGGCCTTGGACTCCCAGAGTTCTCTGCTTCACCCCTCCCCACCTGTGCTGGGATTAAAGGCTTGTCATTGCTTGGTCAGTGGTCAACCTGTTTTCCAAACTGAAGAGACAATGTGACCAGCTGTCTCACACCCACACCATCGCGCCTTACCTACCATGATCGACTGCACCCTCACATGGAGATAAAAATAATTGTTGTACCCGCTTCAGCTTCAGAGTCTAACGGGCACCTAAGATCTCAGTGCCTAAAAAATGATTGGCAGGACTAGGGAGAGTTTAATACACATGTACACACACACGCGCGCGCGCGCGCACACACACACACACACACACACACACACACACACACACACAAAACTGGACACTAAGGCCTATGCTCATAATCATAGCCCTTGGGAAGCCGAGGTAGGCTGATACCTGGGCCTTGCTGACCTACACTAATTGTAGAGCCTCGAGTAAGGGCATTTATTTCAAAAAGTAAAGAGGATAGCACTTGAGGGAAAAGGATATCTGAGTTTGTCCTCTGGTCTCCATATGCAAAATTTTATGTACACCCATCCCCTGCCCCAAGACACGCACCTTCACACCCAGTAACATGCACACACACAAAAGTGATGGGAGCTTTCAGTTGTCTCTTTTTGCCTTATAATCAGTGTTAGAATTATAACAGGCACCTAAACATTGTTTTTGCTAATAAGGGAGGACTCTTCATTTGGGATTATAAATAACTAGGAGCCTGGCACTCTGCCTTCATTTTTGGGAAGCAAGATTTGGGCAATCTGCTTACCTTTGTGTATGGATTGGTTTCTTTGTTTTGCTTATTTTATTTTTTGGCTTTTCAAAACAGGGTTTCTCTGTAGCTTTGAAGCCTGTCCTGGAACTAGCTCTTGTAGACCAGGCTGGCCTTGAACTCATAAAGATCCACCTGCCTCTGCCTCCCGAGTGCTGGGATTAAAGGCGTGTGTCACCACTGCCCGGTGTGTATGGACTGTAAATTACTCAAGGAGTGTGTGGCAGTTTGGATTAGGAATGTTTCCCCATAGGCTCAGGCATTTAAACACTTGGTCTTCTCTCTCTCAGGGGCACTGTTTTGAGAGGGTATGGAAAGATGCAGCCTTGCTGAGAGGAGCATGGTGCTGACAGCAGACTTGAGAGTCTAAAGCCTTCTGCCACTTCCAGTTCACTCTGTTTCCCACTTATGGATGAGCTACATCGCCATGCCTGCCCCTTGATGCTATGCCACCTCCCCACCATCATAGCCTCTTAGCCCTCTGGAACCAGAAGCCCAAATTAGCTCTTCCCTCTCTGCTGTCTTGGTCATGACACTTTGTGATAGCAACAGAGAAGTAACCAAAACAGAGCCGCTGTGTAAAATCTAGATACCCAACTTTCACTCCCCCTTCCAGGCTGAAATCACAAAGCCATGGGTTAACATCTTAGTCCCAGCTTCCTTAAATGTCCTGCAGACTTAAACATCTCCAGTGGTCCTAAACCCCCCAGTTGCCTTGGAGTCTAAGAACATCAGAGTCTCGCAAGGCAGATGACCTTCCAGAGAGGACAATCACCTATGGTGAGGCTGCATCTTGGAACAGTGTTCCAGGAAGCGAGCAGGACAAATGCCGAGAGCAGTCACCTGTGTCTCCAAACCCCAAAGGATCCCTGCCAAGAGCTGCACAACAGTTGGCCATCATCTTTTATTTGCCTAAATACACCCACACAGGTCAGCTTAGCCGGTTAAGCCCTCTTTAAACTCAGCCCACTCCCTCTGTTCTCAGTGTCTTAGGAATCTTTCCAAGCAGATTCTGTACATCCAGCTCAGCTAGAATTTTTCCTCAGTAAGTTGAGACACCCTCGAGATTCCATTACTTCTTGTGTCTGGGAAGGAAGAACACAGCACGTGATGCATGGTCTTCATGTCAGGCTCCCGCAGAACTGAGCAAGAAAATAACTGAGGCAGAGACCGGGAGGAGTGGAACTGCGTGGCCACCAGTCAGCTGATCCCACGGCAGTGGAAGGAAACAGGAAGGTCTGATAAGGCCTATGGGGCTCGCTGGTGCTGTCCGTGAAGGCTGTGAGATGGCTTATGTGTCAGTAGTCTGTTCAGAGTTGGAATCCAAGGAAACTGAGCTCTGACAGACCCTAAAAGCTTTGATAATCACAAGGTAGGTTTCCTTGAACTTTTTTATTTTACAAGCGTAGACAATAGGGTTCATCATTGAGTTCGCGTGGGACAACAAGATCCCCAGGCACCTTGCGACCTCTGGTATATTAACTTTAAAGTAGGAAACAAAGTTGATGATGGACAACGGCAGCCAGCACAAAGCAAACAAGAAGAGAACCAGGAACAGGGATTTGGCTGTCTTGAACTCCCGCCCGTAGAATGCACGTGTCTCTCGAAAGCCAGATAAGTTCTGGCTGAGTTTCTTACGGAGGATGTAGAAGATGTCCAGATAGATGACGCACATGACAAGGAGAGGGATGAGGATCCAGGTGATGAAGCTGAAGAAGACCATGTAGTCCAAAGACACGACCGAACGGAAATGGCACGAAAGGGTGGTGATATTTGGGGCGAGCCCTGAGATCACTTTTTTATTCCAGCCAAACATGGGGGTCAGTCCCACCAGGAAAGATACTACCCAGCAAAGGCCCAGGGAGAGCCATATTCTTCTTTGAGTGGTGACCGCCCTGTATCTGTTTGAATGGAAAAAAAAGTTGGTGAGTTCACAGAAACAGGAAATGTCTAGCTGGGAAAAGGGAGGAAGAGTAATAAGCTTCCCAATTCCCTCATCTTCTGCTGAGAGATGAAACACCCACAGTGTTAGGTGCCATTAAAAAAAAAAAAACTAGAGTGATCGGCAATATGTTTCTAAGAATCAGGTGCCTACATGCCTCCTCCACTCAGTTGTGGCTCCAAGAATTCTTTTTTTTTCATATTTATTTTGTGTATATGAATGTTTTGCTTGCATGTATAACTGTGTACCATGTGTATGCCTGGTGGTCAGGGTAGTCAGAAGAAGGCACTGGATCTCCTGGAACTGGAGTTACGGACAGTGCTGGGTGCTGGGAATGGAAGCCAAGTCCTCTGTAAGAACAGCAAGTCTTTTTCTCTATTGAGCCAGCTGTCCTGCAATGTCAGCACTACCTACATTTTTGGACCCCGGAGCTGATGAGAATCTCCCCAAAGCTTGCTGGTGTGCTGTACTCTGCACTGCTTCGACTGGCTGCTGAATTGGAGCTCACAAGTTACACTGCCCTTCCACGCTTCTCTCTACCTGTACCCGCCCCATCTTTCACAGGGGCATCAATGCTGCTCTTTGAGTTAATCAGTGTTTTCTTAAGGTTATGCTCAAGTGCTTATAGTTTCATCCTGGGGAGGCAAAATTTCTCCTTAAATCATCCTTCCTAAATGGCCTCAGACTACAAAAGAAAGAAACTAAGACTTACCTCAACTAAACCGCAAAGCAAACTAGAGATATTTTATGACAATCTCTATTTTACTGGTGACAGTGGCGTAGCTACCATTTATTGAACACAGACTCTGTAGCAGGATTTTCCTGAGAACTTCGCATTTATTAACTTTAGTGGCTTCACCTTATAAAGATGAAATTATCATCTTCATTTTAGATTTTAAAAATGTAAAACAGCGTTAGGTAACATATAGCAGCCAGAGGTGGTAGAACTGAAAGGAAGAAAGCCTGGTTCAGATGCACAGCTACTCAGAGACGTGGAGACTGAAGCAGAGAAAGCTAAATAACCTGCGCAATGCCAGACCACAAGACCAGGGAGAAGACCTCAGACTCGTTTTCATCTCCGGCTTGTTTGTAGTTTCCTCATGCTCTTTCCCCAAGAGGAGCCGGAAGAAACCAGGAAATGTGATTTCTCGTTGGCTGCCTGCTCTCTCTGCATGGTCATAGGAAGCTGCTGCCATTTTGCACAGCATTTTTACACATATTCAAAAAATATTTTTGTCTCAGAAGTGCTTTACACGTCATTAAAAAAAAGATGAAAAGGAAAATATACATTTTTTTTTTTTACATTCCTTGAGGCAGAGTTTCACTGTGTAGCCCTGACTGTCTTGTAACTCACTCTATAGACCAGGCTGGCCTCAAAGTTACAGAGATCCACCTGTCTCTGCCTTCTGAGTGCTGGGATTAAAGGTGTGAGTCACCACCACAGGCAATGGATATACATTTTTAGGACCTACCTTTTTTTTTTCAATAACTGGACAGAGACAGAAGCAACGTTAAAATCTAACCTATATCTGCAAAACCACCCAGTCAGCTGCCTATCTCTTCTTACGCCCATCTTTCTACTTCTCCTAAAACAAGATAATCTATTAAGGCTCTATTATCTTGAAAACTTGAGATCAGATTTTTAAAAACCAAAGATACATCAGGCTTTCATCATCTTTGGCTATCTTGGATGGTAGTAGACAGCCATGCTCAACGGAGAAGGGGCTCAGAGTGTCCCTGTTTCCTATTCCTGAATCCCTGCTCTTCATGCCTAACCTCTTCACAAACCATATGGTGCAAAGACATTTGCTGCCCTTTGTAAACATCAAGGGCCAGTTTGGGTTCATTTCTACTGAACAGGTCTAGAAGACAAACTTGATAGCTCTACTTTCCTGCCCCCCCCCCCTCTCTCTCTCACACACACACACACACTGCTGCCTCACCCTTCTACAAGCAGGTTACCTGACTGTCAGCTTGACCCGCAGGTAACGGTCTACAGCGATGGCCAGCAAGGACATAATGGAGGCGTGGGTGAAGAACAGAATCACGCAGGCCATGAAAAGGCAGGTATAGAAGTGCATCCTCACTTCTAAGCTGACAGCAATAGCCAAAGGCATGACCAGTATCCCAACGGCAATGTCAGCCAGTGCTAGGGAGACTATGAAATAGAAGGTGGTGGTCCTCAGACTGGGGTTCAGCTTGACCACCCAGATGACCAGCATGTTGCCCACGACAGCGCAGAGCCCGATGATAACCTCCATGGAGATGTAGGTGATTTTCAACCACAACGTTGCTGTGGTGTTGACCGGTGTCATGCTGTCTCGGAGACGCTGTGGGCTTGTTAGCAGGGCACGTATGGGCCAGAGGACCTAGCTCTTGCCGGACATCTGCCCGCACGTCCACACGCAGCAGCCGCTGAGAACTCACAGTTCGCTCAGTCCGTCCAGGGTGATGCTCTCTTGGACCATCAGCTTCAGCCGCGCATCCCTGGTCTCCCAGGAACCTGGAGGACACGGTTCTGCGCAGCTAAATCTGAAAGTGCTACCCTTCTTACTTCCCCAGACACTGTCAAGGCTTCTTCTGCCTTCCTCCCCTTACTGCCCCGCCCCCAGAGGGCTTTTCAAGCTCCATCAAGATAAGCGCCCCTCTTTAAAGAAGTGAGATAGGCCATGAGGAAGTAGAGGGCCAGGAACCCTCAGGGGGAAAAATGATGGGAGAAGCAGAGAAGGCTGGCACTAGTTGCATGCAGACAGTTCAAAGAGAAGATGCCAGCTGGGGTCTGGTAGTGAAAGCTGATACTCTTAGCTACATGGAAGTCTAAGGCAGGGAGATCATAGGTTCAATGCCTGTCTCAGTTACAGAGTGGGTTTAAGGCTAGCCTAAGTAACTCAACAGACATTTCTCAAAAAAAAAAAAAAAATCTCAAGTGTGGCCATGGGGAGCTAGAGATATATCTTAGTAGTAGAATGATTGTTTGGCATGCATCAGAGCCTGTGTACCACCCCATCACAACAGACATACATCACACACACACACACACACACACACACACACACACACAGGGTGCAGAGTGGAATCAGGGACCACATGAGTGTAGGGATAGGATTAGGTAGAAGAAGAGATGGAAACACCAAATAAGTAATATTTCCACACTCTGCCTACTTAGCACAAAGTGACAAAGGACTTTTCTTGTGACAAAGAAAGTCATGGCGGTGCATGCCTTTAATTCCAGCACTGGGGAGTCAGAGGCAAGTGGACACCATGAGTTTGAGGCCATCCAGGTCTACCTAAAGCTCAGGTCAGTCAAGGACAGAATCAAATGTAGATACACACACACCTTTGTGTTTGTGTATATGTGTCTGTGTGTATGCACAGATGTGTGCAGGTGCCCAGAAGAGGGTGTTAATTTCCCCTCTGTAATAGCAGCAGGCACATTTAAACCACTGAGTCATTTCTCCAGCCCCAATGTTTAATTGGGTTGGTTTTTGTTGTTGTTTGGCTTGGTTTGGTTTTTGCTTTGGCTTTTGCTTTGGCTTTTGTTGTCATTGTTTTGAAGGTTTCATTAGCCTCCCTTGTGGCCCTTCATCTTACTTCTGTTCTGTTTTCTTTGTCTCTCCTTCATTGGAGAAGTTACTGAGAGCAATTTCTACCAAGTGACAAGAAAAATATCTTTCTTACCAAAAGCAAGATGAATCTTGCTTGGTTAGTGTTGTGCTTTCCTGTCGCTTTAAGGGACAAGCCACGCCCACTCCCATTACCTCTGACCTGCCCGCGGCCATCTTGGGCCCTTCCTTTTGCCCGTGCTTTTTATTATAAGGAAGACCTGGGAATGTTATGGTTTTGGTCCCTTTAAGAGACAAGCCACACCCATTCCCCTTCCCATCTGCTGAGGCAGGCTGATTTTCAGCTTCTCGCCTGAGCTTGCTCTCTTTTTTCCATCTTCCTCTGGGAGAGGCAGCTTCGCTTCTGTCTCCCTCCCCACTTCTCTGCTTCCCCCCTTCTCTGTCTCTTTCTCCTCTTCTCTCTCTCTCTTTCTCTCTCTGTGCCCCCCTTCACCCTTCCTCCTCCATAACCCCCTGAATAAACATTCAACCTCACCCTGCATGTCGTGTCTATCCATGTTTCTGTCTTCTGCCCGCCCGCCATGTGTCTCCCTGCCTGGGAACAGCCATTGCTCTGGGACCGGCAGCCATTTCTGCCTGGGACTAGCTGCTCCCAGAGCCCGCTGCCTGCCACCACATGGCCCGCCACCACTGCTCTGAGACCAGCAGCTGTCTCTGTCTGGGACTGGCTGCTCCCAGAGCCTGCTGCCTGCCACCACATGGCCCACCACCACCATTTGGGACCTACAGCATTTCTGCTGCCTACTGCCGCGGGGATCTTGCAGCATTTTTAAAAAAGAACAACAGTTAGTTTCTCTTAAACTTCTCCATCCTTTGCCGCTCAGTACCACAAAGTAACCTTTTGTGAGAAACATACCTTCCTGGGCATGGATGGTTCATACCACCTGGATGTTGTGGCCATGGTACACCAAAGAGCATCTTTCTGGAGAAGTTTGGCATCTCCCGGCATGGCTGGCAGCCCGGCGTTAGGAGTGAGCATGGACGGAGGTGGTAGAGATGAGACTTCCATCTCTATGTAAGGCATGCTGGTCATGCAATGGGCAGCTGCTACATAAACACCAGCAGAAACAAGATGGCAGTCCACATTCTGTGACTACAAAAGCTGAGTGAACAGGCTAGAGGCGTGGCTCAACTATTACAAATACCAGATACCCTTCCAGAAGACCCAGGTTCAATTCCCAGCACCCAGATGTCAGCTCATAACCACATGTAACTGCAATTTCAAGGGGTCAGGCTCTCTTCATACACGCCATGCACAGACATACATGAAGGCAGAACACCCATACACACGCAATAAGTTTTTAAGTTGAAAGGAAGTGAAGAAGATAACAGGCACCATGAACGTAGTTCTAGCCCACTGGAAGCAGAAGGACATATTAAAGACATAGTTAAAGGATGTAGTTAAAGACAGGTGGATCGAAAAACCTGGCCATCTGTGATTTCAGATCCTCCTCCCCGCCCTGCTTTATTCTCTTGTGGAGACTGAGTTCTTTTGAAACCAATTCATTCCCATTGGGTTCGGGAAGTGAAGGGGACGGCCTAGGTCTAAGACCACACAAGCGATGAGAGACCAACCCACTGAGTGAAGAGGGACAGGGGACACACCTACAGCCACCAACAAAACCACCTCATCCCACCTAGAAACATGACTCCCAGAGAGCTTTGCAATGTCTTGGTTTTTCCTTGAAGGACAAAAGCCCTTTCTGTTTTCCAAATAAACAGAGCACCATGCTTGGCCTATGACTGGGCTGTCTGCTCGCTGGAGAGTGAAATCCAAAGGCAGCAATCTGGAACAGGAGACAGAGAGACGAGGGTAGGCAGCCACCTCTCAACCTTCGTCCCTCACTGGTACCCATGGGTGCATCTCCTCCCATTCCCTACCATCAAGTCCTGTCTCCTTGAAAGTGCTGTCGTTACAAGTCCCAGGGTTCTGAGGTCTCAGCCTCTGCAGGCTCCTGCCATCTGCATCTCTCCCAGAAGCCAGAGCCCCACGACACCTAAAAATTCATGGCTTGCTCATTCCCTTTCACTTCCTCCTGTGCACACACTCTTGGTCTAGATGGAGGGCCTCTTTCTTGGCCCATCTAGGACAACAAAAGGTTTCTCTTCAAGACAGTTCTCCAGCAAGACCTTAAAGGAAACTTCCTACACCACCTCTCTGTCATGTGGGTCCCACCATGCCGCCTTCACAGTTGCCCCGTCCCTATCCCATAAGCCTGTAGTTCACTGAGACCAGACCAGAACCTCTTTGGTTTCTGTACCACAATGCCTGGCAGAGGGCAGCACACTATTGCTAGATGAGTGACCAGAGATCTTTCTTAGCAAGTCAGGTGGCAGAAACCTGCCTCTGGGCTCACAATGACAGAAACCCTCAGCTAGGACCTGTTAGGTACTCTCCAGGACGCCAGCTACTGGGGGGGTGGGGGTGGTAAACAGGTGATTATTTGTGGTCTTCTGGTGGGTGTTAATGATGAGCAAACAGAGACTCAGAAAGGTTAAATACCTTGGCCCAGATAGCACAGTGAGGAAGCGACAAGCTGACATTTGAGCCCATATGGCTGGCTGGCTTCAGAGCCTGTGCTCTGAATGGTAGCCTTCAGAAAGTGGATAAGCAAATGAGCAACCACAATGTGAAGGCGTCACAAGTGCCTGGAGCCTCTCGTTTTGATGGCACGTTGTGATCAATATTAGCAAGAAATTAATATTACAAAATGTAGGTGTCTTAGCCACCAAGATCATGAGAGTAAAGCTCACATATAAAGTAGATGCAGGGTCTTCTCTGTGTCAGGAAGAGATGGCAGGACCAGAGAGAGGGTCACATAAGCAGGCCACTGGTGAGCCTCTGAGTCACACAGATAGCCATTTCTAGCGCCAGAACACCAAAAGATAAGTTTTTAAAGTGAATTGAAGAGTAAGTGAACCGCAACTCATATTTCCCTGCCTTTCTGTCCCATAAAAAGAGGCCATCACGATTTTCGGTTCTACTAGAAGAGCCTTGTCTCTTCAAGGGGAAGGACGATGGGCTGTGGAGAATCATCAGCCTAACAAAGTGAAGAGTATCCAGGGAAAGGCCTCCCCCGGAGCTCTGGCCTGGAGCAACAGAACACCACAGGCTGTGTAACATCTGAAGAAGGCTGACCAGAGAGAGAAACTCATTGGCTCTTTGGTAGCTTCTCGGAAAACCCTAGAAAACCTCAGATTCCAGTCTTCAACAGCAAGGAGACCAGAGTTAGGTCTCCGGAACCCAGAGCTGGCCTAACCCAGAGCCAAGACAGGATGTCGGGCAGCCCTTAGGTAGAAACCGCCGCTCGGAGCCCTCACTGACTCGATGCTGCGGGCATACTTGCATAAAACCAGTCTACTCGCTTCCTCTTGACACCATTACCACTTCCCCCAAAGCCTTATACTTTTACTGACCTTTCCATATGCCAGCGAACAACAGGGGCTTAGGAGGAACCAGCGCCCGTCATCCTTGAAGGTGCCTTCTCCTTGCCTGCCCCCCGTCCTCCAACAGGCTGCCTTGCCCCTCTCTGCCAAGTCAAAGGGAGTCTTTCAGGCAACTTTCCACAGGCGCTGATCTAGGCTTCCACACCAAGACCCCTTCAATTTACAGGGCTCGGCAGTCAATGTGCAGAGCTTGCTAGGTATCAGTGAAAGTGAGAGGTGTCCATGAGGCTCAGAAACCTAGGTCA